TGGAAAATAAGTATTTGGTCACCTATAAACAAGCAAGATTTCTGGCTCTCACAGACCTGTAACTTCTTCTTTAAGAGGCTCCTCTGTCCTCGACTCGTTACCTGTATTAATGGCACCTGTTTGAACTGCACAACATTTTGGAGAAATAAGCTTTTTGTGGACATGGAACATTTCTGGGGTCTTTTATATCAGCTCATGAAACATGGGACCAACACTTGACATGTTGCCTTTATATTTTTGTTCAGTATATATATATTAGTCATTAGTCATTAGATAATATATAAGTTATTAGATAATTAAGAGATTATGAAGCATTACCTCAAATGAAAGATTTTTTAAAAATTACATAAACAACATTTGTAATGCATTGCTATTCGAAACTACATGATTCAATTATAAAGATGTTTACATTTGTTTTTACATGTACATTGTTTACATCACTTACAATGATAGATCCCCAGAAAAATATTTAACTGATTCCTCCAATACTGTCTATCTGTGGTGCTGTAATCATCACGATTCATATCAACAGCATCATCAAACCAACCATTATCTGTACGGTCTGTGGGAGAAAAGCTAAGGATTAGCTTCTGACTGGATTTAAGTGAATAAACCATATAAAACATAAAACATCTTAAATTCCCAAAGTACAATGGCTCATTGTGCATTAAAACAGTATTACAGTACCTTTCGCCAAAGCCACAAACCTAAATGATAGTTTGAAAATAAATAGAAATAGGTACAAGTAATTTATAACAGTTTTTATCTCAATATCAAATCATTTCTAGGTAACAATTAAGAACCTTACTGTGCTTCATTAAAATGGTAAAAAAGAAACAAAAATAGCTTCTTAGCAAAGAGCAATTTCTCAAGCAAGAATTTTGCTAGGACTGTCTGGTAGTGGTCTGAGTGGGGAGGGGAAAACTGAAAACTAGCGGTTATTGGCAGAAGGTTTGGAAATGTCTTTCTTATTGGTCTATTAAATAATTTACCGTTGAGCGATGTCACCAGGCAGGCCAAAACTCCATCCCACCAAAACAGGCTGACATTTCAGGCGGTCTTTTCAAACAGCTCTTACACTAAAAGGGCATTATCATAAAGACAGGCATCGAGGCATTCAGTTACTGTTCTATTGAACACTAGAAAGGGCAAAATGAGTGAACTAAGCGACTTTGAGCGTGGTATGATCATCGGTGCCAGAAACGGCTGGCCTCCTGGGCTTTTTACACACAACAGTGTCTTTACCGAGAATGGAGCCACAAATAAAAAACATCCAGTTAGAGACAGTCCTGTGGGCGAAAACAGCTCGTTGATGAGAGAGGTTGAAGGCGAATGGTACTAATAAATAACGGCGCCATACAACAGTGGTGTGCAGACCGGCATCTCGGAACGCACAACTCGTCTGCCTTTGTCACTGATGGGTTATTGCAGCAGACGACTACACCAGGTTCCACTCCTATCAGCTAAAAACAAGATGAAGCGGCTGCAGTGGGCATGCAATCACCAACACTGAACAATTGAGGAGTGTAAAAACATTGCTTGGTCCGACAAATCCCGGTTCCTGTTGCGTCATGCTGATGGCAGAGTCAGGATTTGGCATAAGCAGCATAAGTCCATGGCCCCATCCTGCCTGGTGTCAATGGTACAGGCTGGTGGCGGAATGGTGTGGGGAATGTTTTCCTGGCACACGTTAGGTCCCTTGATACCAATTGAGCAACGTTTGAACGCCACAGTGTATCTGAACATTGTTGCTGACCAGGTGTATCCCTTAATGGCTACAGGGGTGTCCGACCCAGTACTAGATGAGTGTACCTAATAAACTGGCCACTGAGTGTATAGAAAACACAGGAAAATCACGTTTTTGACTGCACTGGGCCTTTAAAAAAGCAGGCTAATGATGGATGGACCAATAACTGACATGGTTTGGCAGAGCAACCTGTACATTCCTATCCTTCATTCATTCTTGGCCATTTTATTCCCTCAAGACTATTGTGTCTCTTCTTATCTCCTCTTGTGGTTCCTCTTGTGGTTTTCATGAACAACTGTGTGATCAGTTTCTTATACGACCTAATTCATGGCTAATGCGTGAATTTGAAAAATTCATCTCAAAACGCATGTGTGTCAAGGTTCATATGGTGTAACATATCCCAACTGTGAGTACAACCCAACCCATATCCCAACTGTGAGTACAACCCAACCCATATCCCAACTGTGAGTACAACCCAACCCATATCCCAACTGTGTACCGTCACACATAGGGTCTGGTATAATAAAGGTGTGGTATAATATAGGTGTGGTGTAATAAATGTGCGGTATAGTAACGGTGTGGTGTAATAAATGTGTGTTATAATAACGGTGTGGTATAATAACGGTGTGGTATAATAACGGTGTGGTATAATAAAGGTGTGTTATAGGCAACATTCTGAATTGAGTAAGAAGGAAGTAAGAAACTGAAATATACTGTTTGTATTGTTAGTTTTTGGCCTATATCTGGTCAGTAACTGGAACACTCACTCACTTCACGAAGTTAATTTTACAGCAACCTTAAATACCATATCCAACAACTGAATGAAAGTGTTTGACCAAGGTTGATGCTTTTGGCTACAGTGGCTTATATCATCATCAAACAATCTACTCTGAAGTGAAATGGACTACGCACAAATATCCAATTGTTCAGCAAGTTTATATGGTTGTCATTACATTGAGAATCAGGACTATAATGGCCTATGTAATACATGTTGCACACCCTCAACTCTATGGTGCCAGGTTTGTCATCCATGTACTTCATATAAATGTGCACTAGAGGACAGTACTGTTTAGCACACATCAAATTGGGGCCACTAGACAATAAATAGCTTTCACTTGTATATAAGAACCTTGACAGCTGGGGTGTGAAAGGGATTTTGTTGATTTTTGCCTATTTAAAGGTAGTGTCAGATGGTCTTATTTCTTGCAATAAGGGCTTTGGTCTTTTAGCACTGACTGTATTATAGTCATGCAGCCATGCATTGGTTGAATATCATCGTCATGATCTGTCAGGCCATTACCAATAATGGTCTCTGGGGTAGACGTAACATAGTAAATGTAAATCCGGGAGTAATGATATGTTACATTTCGAATGGTATGTATGAATTTGTGGCAGTCCATCATCCATATCATATGATATGTTACGAATTTCAATTCGTACAATATGTTACAAATTGTAAATCGTACAATATGTTACGAATTCTTTTAACATATGATATGTTACGAATGCCAATTTGTTGTGGGTAACGTTAGCTAGGTGGCTAACGTTAGCTAGGCTAAGGGTTAGGTTTAGGGGAAGGGTTAGCTAAAATGCTAAGTAGCCGCAAAGTAGCTAAAAAGTAGTTGCAAAATTGCTAATAAGATTTCTGTGATGAGATTCAAACACGCAAACTTTGGATTGCTTGACGTTCCTATGTAACGTTATACGACCACCCATCCAACCGGACTAACCACCCTACTTCGGTTTTTGCCATGAGTAACCTTCTGTCTTCTGTAACCATACCAAAGGTATATCAGACTAATTTGAGTGTTCCGGATATACGTTTACTATGTTACGTCTAGTCTATCAACCAGGCTGCTATACCGGATTTTTGACACAGTTGTTAGCATGATGCCCCGTTTACATCATGAAGTGCACGTCATCTTCATGAATTCTTGCTCCGCTACTGAATGGACAAGTGTAGTGTTTGTAACACAAGATGGAGGAGAGCTTGTCTCTCGTCAGAGATCGCATTTATTTTGGGAGATAAGATATGATATTTTCATTCAAGACATATGTTGTTTCAGGTGATAATAAAACATTTTTACTTTTTCCTCAACTTGTTTCTTTAACTTTATAGCGAGTCAAGCTAGGTTGCACTGCAGAGCAGCTAGCTAAAAGCTAGTCTAGGTTGAAGATACCATTGTAGCTAGTGACCTCCACCTTATAATTATCATCAAAAACAAACGTCCTTACCATCACAATAAACTTAAACGGGAGGCAACAGTCATATAATATAATTGGCTTACCAGCCAATGTGTAGTATTTAACATTACTATTAAAATTGCAATCACTTATAGGAATGGGTTATTGTTTACAAATTGCTAGCTAATCCCATAAAGCCATCACCGAAAACCACGTCATTTCATCTTCCTCTGTGGTTGGACTGAAGACGATGCAAAGTTTTAAAAAAAAATCAAAGTATGCTGCATCTGTCTCACAACGGAGCCTTCAACCGCAAGGGGGCGTTGCGTTTCCAATCCATTGTGGACATCCCCATTGAAATGCAGTACATCTGCCGCAACATAACGGAGTGCTTATGGATAATGTAAACAAGGCTTTAGGATTGTCAGACAATTTTTGGCCCAAACCTAGCTCAAATTCTACTCGTTGGAGTAAAACGAGGCTACAGCATCCATAAGGTGACCATTATGCCTCGTTCACATTACCCATAAGCACTCCATTATATTGCGCTGGATGTCATGCATTTCAATGGGGACGTCCACAACGGAGTGGAATTACAACGCCCCCTTGCGGTTGAAGGCGCCGTTGCTAGACAGACACTGCATAATTTGACATTTTCCAAACCTTGCGTTGTCTTCAGTCCAGCCAGAGTCCGGAAGTTACCAAATCACAGAAGAAGATTAAAATATGTGGTTTTCGGTGATGATGGCAGCGCCGAAATTGATTAGATAAAGTTATTTTGCAAGCAATTTTTAAGCTAGCTAGCTTGATTCTGTATGGAGCCATAGCTAGCTAGCTAGCATAATCATTAGAAAAGGAATCATTCACCTGCTAAGACCTAGCAACTGACATAAATCCCATGATTTATTGATCACCCAGTTAGATCTGGAGTTTTAGTAGAAGCACGACGGAAGTTAGAAAATAATTTGTTTAGCTTTTACATTGGCTGCATACTGTGAATCTGTACTGCCCTTTGATTCATGAAAAAACATATCTAAATCATTTACAACTGTCTGTCCCCACTCTCCAGGCTGCAATCCACTCACAGTTAGACAGGGTCCATTCAGGCCTCTGTCAGCTCCACAATGCCATGTGGGATGTGAAGGACATCCAGAACTCCCTGGCAGAAGTCAGTAATGACTGGGGGCAAAGCATTAACACCATTGAGAACATGAAGTACTTGTAAAATATGCTGGGATGCAACATCAGTGGAGGCTCCTCAGAGGAGGAAGGTGAGGACCATTCTCCTCAGTGAATATATATATATTTTAAAAGTGAAAACTAACTAAATATATTCACATGTCACTAAATAATTAATTAAAACACACTTGCAATGAAGGTCTACAGTAGCCTCAACAGCACTCTCTGGGGTAGCACCATGGTGTAGCCGGAGAACAGATAGTTTCCGTCCTCCTCTGTGTACATTGACTTCAATACAAAACCTAAGAGGCTCATGGCTCTCACCCCCTTCCATAGACTTACAGTAATTATGACTGAATTAGAGGGTGATGCCTCTGGAATTTATGCACTGATTGAGTAGGTGAAGTTATGGAGATTGTGCTCCTATTAGAGAAATAGTGAGAGAGACAGTTCCTCAGTTTAGGGTTATTTAATGTTGATTGGAGATTAACAATGTTTGCAATTCTGTGCCATGTCACTCAGCTGTGATTATCCAATTAACTGTCCATTTATCCAGATGTGGTCTGAAAATAATAATAAACATGAGTACAATGGCATCAATACTAATATTGTTCAACTGTGCTGTTTCACAAAAGTTACATTTTATGGACACAGTATATTTTACATTAGTTATCTTGTTATTTTTAGTCCCACCCCTCAGCTCCACTATGGTATGACGGTTTGACTTGGAAAGTTTTTTTTGCCTGGTCACAGACAGCCATTGGGTTGTGCAATAAAATCCACAAGCGAAGGGAAAAGGTGAGAGGAGGAGCGTAGATGCGAGAATGAATTATATAACGAGCAAAGTGATCATGCTGTTTGGATGTGGCTGCTATGAAAGTGAACTGTGTGATCAAGGGTGTATTCATTCCGCCAATTCTGTTGCAAAACGTTTCTTACACGGAAGCAAATGGAATGAAACGGGGATGGATCTACCTAAATTTGTCCAATAGAAACTCTCGTTTTGGACTAATGATTACACCCTAGAGCAGCTAGATGCAGTCAACAGTGTGCAAGGCGGTATTGAATGTGTCACTGTCTGTAACCTTGATTACTCAAATATTTATCTCGACCTGTGCACCTACATTGTAAACTTTCATTCGTAGGCTGTAGCAACCTTATGATGGGTATAGGGAACATTTTAGTATCATATAGTAGCCTAAACCTATCTATGTTACATTGAGCTGGGTGAATGGAATATGAATAACAGTCATCCAATATGCTGTAATAGAAGTAAGGCCATGCTCATTAAAAAAACGGCACCTACCGCCACTGAACACAGTCAGCTAGCCTCAGCCGTGGAGAACCTGAAGTATATATTTTCAGGTATGTTCAGCTGCAGCATTAAATGTGATTGGGAACTATTATTGTTGGTTTGCATTGCATTTGATGTGACACTGTACAGTTACAATGTATTTGTGTAGTAATATTTATCCTACATTCCTGTGCAGTGCCTGAGATTGTGACAGGACACTCCGTTAATGATAGAGCAAGCCGAGCTGTTGGAGGGCCACCACAAGCTGATGAACCTGGAGTGCTCATGGAATGACTTCATGCACGATCAGTACCGCATGGGCAGCAAGAACACACACAAAATGAACCTAATTCGAAACTACTTTGGCAAGGTGGAGGGCCTGTCGGACGACCTGGTCAAGCAACTGTGGATAGTGTTGCATCGCGCCATGGGCAAGGCTGGAGGCCACAGTGAGCAGTGACGCTGGTGCAGTGCTTCCCAACACTTTACAACACCTTTACAGGTTATTCAAGCTCTACCACAACACTGTGTCCATGAGGGTGCAGGAACTGACTACAGAGGACCTGACGGCCAACACGATTGTGTCCCTCCTCACCTGGGTCCTCAATTTAAGGGAAACTTCACCGCTAGACACTATTTGGGGTGTTTTTCCAGTCTCCCTACATAATTTTAAGCGATGAGAGGGTGTTCCAGACATAATTATGCACCATAGCGGTATTTTTGAAATTCCGCAACGGTAGAGTTCAACCAATGACGTTGTCACGGTTTCGGCCGAGGCTGCTCCTCCTCCTGGTTCGGGCAGGCTTCGGCGGTCGTCGTCCCCGGAGTACTAGCTGCCACCGATCGATGTTTCATGTTCGTTTGGTTTTGTCTTTATGTTGTACACCTGTGTCTGGTTAGTCCTCGTTAGTGTCCTATTTAGTTCTCGTTGGTTGTGTTTGTCTTTGTGTGTGATTGCTCTTCTGTTTTCGTGTTGGAGCTACGTACTTCCCTCCAGTGTTTTTGGAGAGGGTTTTCGCACATGTTAGTGCGCCGTTTGTTTGACGCCTGTGTGCGCCGTGATTTCGCCTTCGGGCTTATTGTGCTTATTTTCTATGTGATTATTGCACTAAAGTCTTTTGGACTGAGCTTCTGCGTCCTGCGCTTGATTCATGCACCACACCCACCTTCAGCACCCCTTGACAGAATCACACACCAGAATGGAATCAGCAGGATCTGCAGTTACGCCTGAGTCGCTCGAGGAGCATGTCCGCGGCCAAGATGACCAGATACGACAACTGGGGACCGCTCTACAGGACGTCATCAACACCTTGCACCGATGGGAGGCCAGCGGGGTACCCACGCCTCCACCTACCCTGCCAACCCCATCGGCCGGTCCACCAGTCCCAGGTCCGGAACCCAGGGGGATTCGGCTCTCGCTCCCGAGGGCGTATGACGGAACAGCTGCCGGGTGTCAGGGGTTTCCTCCTGCAGGTGGAGCTCTACCTGGCCACTGTATCCCCGGTGCCCTCGGGACACGAGAGCGTTTCCGCCCTCATCTCCTGTCTCACGGGCAAGGCGTTGGAGTGGGCTAACGCCGAGTGGAGGAAGATGGACGCCAACACCATCTCCTACGCCGAGTTCTCCCGTCGCTTCAAGGCCGTGTTCGACCATCCACCTGAGGGCAAAGCGGCGGGGGAGCGTCTAGTCCACTTGAGACAGGGGAGGAGGAGCGCACAGGCGTTTGCTCTAGAGTTCCGGACTCTAGCGGCGGACGCAGGGTGGAATGAACAGGCCCTCATCGACCATTTTCGATGTAGCCTACGGGAGGACGTTCAACGTGAGTTGGCCTGCAGGGATACCCATCTTACCTTCGACCAGTTGGTCGATATGTCCATCCGTCTGGACACCCTGCTGGCCACCCGTGGACGTCCCGAGGGGGGTCCGTCCATTCCGCCCTCCGGCACCTCCGAGCCGAGCCCTATGGAGCTCGGGGGTGCCGGCGCTAGAGAAAGGAGGAGGAGGAGCCCGAGGGGGCCTGTCTCCTGCACCAAGTGCGGTCGTGGAGGGCACACTGCGGCCAGGTGCTGGGGAGGGTTCTCCGGGGGAGAAGACAACAGGCCACGCACTGGGGGGGCCTCCCAGGTGAGTAGACGTCCCACTTACCCAGAGCTTTCTGTTGCGCACTTTTGTATACCTGTTTGTTTTCCACAGGTTGCACCTCATTCCCAGCATAAGGCGCTAGTAGATTCAGGCGCAGCTGGGAATTTTGTTGATCGGAAGTTTTGTGTAGATTTAGGGATCCCTCTCCTACCTGTTGACAAACCTTTTCCCATTCATGCCTTAGATAGCCGCCCGTTGGGGTCGGGGTTGATTAGGGAGATCACAGCGCCACTTAGGATGTGTGCGCAGGGGGGTCATGAAGAGACTATACAGCTGTATCTGATCGACTCTCCTGCGTACCCAGTGGTGCTGGGAATTCCCTGGTTAAGCACCCATAACCCTGCTATTTCGTGGCAACAGAGGGCTCTCGATGGGTGGTCTGCTCAGTGCGAGGGGCGATGTCTGGGTGTTTCCGTGGGGGCGACTTCGGTGGAAAGTCCAAACCAAGTGCCCGCACTGCACATTCCGCCTGAATATGGGGATTTAGCTCTCGTGTTTAGCAAGACTAGGGCGACGCAGTTGCCTCCTCATAGATAGGGGGATTGTGCGATTGATCTCCAGGCAGGAGCAGCGCTCCCACGGAGCCATGTGTATCCTTTGTCTCAAGAGGAGAGAAAAGCTATGGAGACTTACATAGCCGAATCTTTGAGACAGGGATACATTCGGCCCTCCACTTCTCCCGCCTCCTCGAGCTTCTTTTTTGTGAAAAAGAAAGATGGAGGGTTGCGCCCGTGCATTGATTACCGTGGTCTCAATCAGATTACTGTGAAATACAGTTATCCACTCCCTCTGATTGCGACCATGACGGAGTCATTGCATGGAGCGCGGTGTTTCACAAAACTGGATCTCAGGAGCGCGTATAACTTGGTGCGCATTAGGGAGGGCGACGAATGGAAGACAGCGTTTAGTACCACGTCAGGTCATTTCGAGTATCTTGTCATGCCATATGGGTTGATGAATGCTCCATCAGTCTTCCAATCCTTCGTAGATTACATTTTCCGGGATATGCAGGGTCAAGGGGTGGTCGTGTACATTGATGATATTCTGGTGTACTCGTCTACCCGAGCCGAGCATGTAACCCTGGTGCGTCGTGTATTGAGGAGGCTGTTGGAGCACGACCTATATGTCAAGGCAGAGAAATGTCTGTTTTTCCAGGAGTCGGTCTCCTTTTTGGGTTATCGGTTGTCCGCGTCAGGGGTGAGAATGGAGGTGGATCGTGTGTCCGCTGTGCGTAATTGGCAAACCCCAACCACTGTAAAAGAGGTGCAGCAGTTCTTGGGCTTTGCGAATTACTACCGGAGGTTTATCCGGGGTTTTGGACAGGTGGCAGCTCCCATCACGTCCCTTCTGAAAGGGGGTCCGGTGCGCCTGCAGTGGTTCAGCTGATGCGGACAGGGCCTTTGGGAGACTGAAGGACCTGTTTACGTCGGCTCCGGTGCTGGCGCATCCGGATCCTGCATTACCCTTTCAGGTTGAGGTGGACGCGTCTGAGGCAGGTATAGGGGCCGTTCTCTCTCAACGGTCCGGCTCGCCACCTAAACTCCGCCCCTGTGCTTTTTACTCAAAAAAGCTCAGCCCGGCGGAGCGTAACTATGACATTGGGGACAGGGAGCTGTTAGCTGTAGTTCAAGCCCTTAAGGTGTGGAGGCATTGGCTTGAGGGGGCTCAACACCCTTTCCTCATTTTGACTGACCATCGGAACCTGGAGTACATCCGGGCAGCGAGGAGACTGAACCCTCGCCAGGCTCGATGGAGTATGTTTCTCACCAGGTTCGTATTTAAAATCATGTACATCCCTGGGTCCCAGAATGGTAAGGCAGATGCACTGTCCCGGCGGTATGACACAGAGGAGAGGTCCGTTGAGCCTACTCCCATACTACCGGAGTCTTGCCTTGTGGCACCAGTGGTGTGGGAGGTCGATGCCGAAATCGAGCGAGCATTGCGTACCGACCCTAGCCCTCCACAGTGTCCTGAGGGTCGGAAGTACGTTCCGCTCGAGATTCGGGATCGACTCATTTACTGGGCTCACACGTCACCCTCCTCTGGACATCCGGGTATTGGCCGGACAGTGCATTGCCTTAGCACTAAATACTGGTGGCCTACTTTGGCTAGGGATGTGAGGGTTTATGTCTCCTCCTGCTCGGTGTGCGCCCAGTGTAAGGCGCCCCGACATCTGCCCAGGGGTAAGTTACAACCCCTGCCCGTTCCACAACGACCATGGTCCCACCTCTCGGTGGATTTTGTGACAGACCTTTCCCTCTCTCAGGGGAATACCACCATCCTGGTCGTTGTGGACCGGTTCTCAAGGCCTGTCGTCTTCTCCCTATGTCGGGTCTTCCTACTGCCCTACAGACCGCTGAGGCCCTATTTACCCACGTCTTCCGGCATTACGGGGTGCCCGAGGATATAGTGTCTGATCGAGGCCCCCAGTTTACCTCCCGTGTTTGGAGAGCGTTCATGGAGCGTTTGGGGGTCTCGGTTAGCCTTACCTCAGGGTACCACCCGGAGAGTAACGGGCAGGTAGAACGTGTCAACCAGGATGTGGGTTAGGTTTCTGAGGTCGTATTGCCAGGACCGGCCTGAGGAGTGGGCACGGTACATTCCCTGGGCCGAGATGGCCCAGAAACTCTCTCCGCCACTCCTCTACCAACCTAACCCCCTTCCAATGTGTGTTAGGTTACCAGCCGGTTCTGGCACCGTGGCAGCAGAGCCAGATCGAGGCCCCTGCGGTGGATGATTGGATGAGGCGCTCGGAAGAGACGTGGAACGCTGCCCACGTCCACCTGCAGCGGGCCGTCCTTCGTCACAAGGCGAGCGCTGATCTCCACCGCAGTGAGGGGCCGGTGTACGCACCCAGAGATCGAGTCTGGCTCTCTACCAGAAACCTACCCCTCCGCCTGCCCTGCCGGAAGCTGGGTCGGCGGTTTGTGGGGCCCTTTAAAGTCCTGAGAAGATTGAACGAGGTGTGTTATAGGTTACATCTACCTGTTGAGTATAAGAATATTAACCCCTCGTTCCATGTGTCTCTTCTCAGGCCGGTTGTAGCTGGTCCACTCCAGGACAATGAGATAGGAGAGACTCCTCCGCCCCCACTGGACATCGAGGGGGCTCCGGCGTACACCGTTCGGTCCATTTTGGACTCCAGACGCCGGATGGGGGGTCTCCAGTATCTCGTGGAGTGGGAGGGGTACGGCCCGGAGGAGCGGTGCTGGGTGCCGCGGAGGGACATCCTAGACCCATCTCTCCTGTCGGAGTTCCACCGGGACCATCCCGCGCGCCCTGCTCCGCGTCCTCCTGGTCGTCCCCGAGGCCGGGGTC